ACAGGCCTGGGGCTGATGAGTTCCTGTCCCTGCTCGAATGGTGTGTCTGTTGAGTTGTTTTAAATTGTGGTATTGTCTGTCCATGTCTCTTTTTTTCCCTATTTGTATCCCCTACTCCCCTCCTGACTTGGGTTGTGAGCCGCCTTGAGTCCCTTCAGGCAAAAGGGCTGCATAGAAATATAATAAATTCAATTCAATTCAATTCAATTCACTGTGCCACCTTGGCTCATATAATAATACTCCAATCAAGGAACTGCTAAATAAGCTAACTGTAAACATCCCAATCAAGGAGCTGCCAAGACCCATCAATAGCACGAGAATATAAACTGAGAGCAAACCTCACTCCCTACTAGCACTGATAATGTTACCTAGTTGGGTAATGAAATGTCTGCAAAGAAAACAACCAAGCTCAGAGAGCACCAAGGCTCCCAAGGTACACAACAGCCTAATCAAGGAACTGCCAAGGCTACCCCCACCAATACTGGCAGGCCAATCCACTAGAATATAAATTGAGAGCAAACCCCACGCCCTACTAGAGCACGGATGATGCTACCTAGCTGGGTAATGAAACGTCTGCAAAAAAGCCACCCAGCTCAGAGAGCAGCAAGGATTCCTTGTTTCATTTCAACCCTGAGCTACAAATATTCTATCAGCTTCTAACAATCACTGAGCGATCGGTCATTAAGTGAGGACTACCTGAATTCAGCCTGCGTGAGCATTCAAGAGAAACCAGTGCTTCCTTGATCATTTCCAGCCACGGGGAGCTCAACATCAAAACATAAGAGGGGTCCAATGCCTATCATGACTCTGGAAAGGCGGGGGGTCCCTCCCCATCCCATTCCTGGGCAGTGTCCCCACCCCACCCCGGCACTCACTTTGTCTCCATTCATGAATCGCTCCTTCTCCTTGAGGTTCACGTGGTCGATCGAAAGGCTTTGCTCAGCTCGCGATTCAAACACCACGGAGCCACCGGGCCTCCGCACGACTCGTCCCTTCCGCCCGGTCATCTGGGGAGGGAAAAGGGGACATGGAAAAGTGACCCTTCAGATGGGCAAATCGTCTCTAAGGAATTAATTAAATCTATTTTATCTATCTATCTCTGAGAAAAGCATAGCTGCTCAGAGTCACCATGGAGGGGTGGAATGGGACAACTCAACGCAGTCAAATTGTTGCGGCCCGCCAGTGGAGTTGGCAGCAGATTCGGACATGTTCCTCCCCAAACTCCTCACTGTCCGAATCTGGCAGGCCACAACGGGGCCACCAAAGTTGGCCACTTTAACCCTTGTTGACTTCAACTCCCAGGATTCCTCAGCCACAGCTGGCTGAGGAATTCTGGGAATTGAAGCCCACGAGTCTTAAAGTGGCCAACTTTGGAGGCTCCTGGTCTAGGCCAGGAATTGACTTTGTGAGACATAGAAGGCAAAAACTTCCTGTGACCTTTCTCTGGTCCCTAATGTTTTACCTCTGCTACTTTTTCCGGGCCTCCAAAGTAGTCGATCAATTCATCTAAAGTGTTAAGAGGTAGCTCTTTGCCCAGTTTCTTCACTTGAGACAGCAGTTCCTGCTTCATGTTCTCCACGCATTCCGGAGTCCCTAATCCGTTCATCTCCTTTTGGGGGTTCGGCCAATATAGGCCAACTGTAAAGGGGAAGAGGAAGAGATTGTAGCTCGTCTTCTCTTTTTTTTCTTTTCTTTTCGGAGAGAGGAAAACAAGAAGGCAGAGTAGGGCAAAGGTAGCCTTGTAGCTTGCATCGGTTGTAGGATTAGAATAGAATAGAATAGAATAGAATAAGAACAGGATAGGATAGGATAGGATAGAATGGAATGGAAATGGGAATAGGAATTAGAATAGAATAGAATAAGAACAGGATAAGATAGGATAGGATAGGATGGAATTGGAATGGGAATGGGAATAGGAATTAGAATAGAAAGGAATAGGAATCGGAATCGGAATAGAATTAGAATGGAATATAGCAGTAGACTTATATACCGCTTCATAGGCCTTTCAGGCCTCTCTAAGCGGTTTACAGAGAGTCAGCATATTGCCCCCAACAATCTGGGTCCTCATTTTACCCACCTCGGAAGGATGGAAGGCTGAGGAGAGGGAGAGAGGGAAGAAGAGATGGAGGGAGGGAGGAAAGGAAAAAGGAAGGGA